CAACGAAGAAACGAACACAGCTTTCTCTCTCTCTTAATTGGATTCAAGAGTAGTGGTTAGCAACTTGGTTTCCAAGAAAAACACATTTATCTTAATTTCTGCAAGTCAAGGAAACCAAGCAGTCTAGAAGAGCTTTTGGGCCTCGGGAGCCCCAAGCACACGCAGCGATGGGAGCTCCCCCTCAGCCCTCCCCTGAACCCCCCAGCCCTCACCTCAGCTGGGTCCCAGTGGTCCTGTGGCTGCCCTACTTTGAAAGAGCAAATAAGCACATGGAAAGGTTTCTATGCCTGGACAGACAATAGGGCCTGGGTTAAGCAGGAAATAAGGCAGCCCAGGCATGGGGAATGCAAAGGGTTTGATGTGATAGAGCTCCCCATGGGCCAGAGTGAGGTGGGGATGATGGCATGCCTGGACATCAACAGACAGTGGCCTTTAGATTTACACACTCTGTGTGCACCACTCTCACCCACCCCTCCCCACCCAAGCTGGCTGATCATAGGCCTTGGAAAAGAAACCCCACGAGAGGATGGGTGCATTAAAGGCATGAAATTTCCAAACCACAGCTGTTACATCCTAATGAGCCTTATTCAAAGGCCCCAGTCCTCAGATGCCACTGATAGTTTTAACTGCCACCGCCAGCCCCCTGCAATCCAGTAACCGGACTTTAAAAGCCACATGACACTGGAGGCATCTAACCAACAAATGTGCTTAAATTTTACCCTGAATTTTCTTTCCATACCACATGACACAGCAGAAAACAGAGTCATTGTCTACAATCCTCTGTTTGGCATTTCCCAAGGCTGAGCTGCAAATAAGAATGTCAGCAGAGGAGCCAGGAGCCAACCACCATCAGGGACCCAGCTAAGGCCAGGCAGCTGGTCAGCAGAAGCAGGCTACGGTTTCAAAGGTCAGAAAGACAACACCTCTGTGCCCACTAGCCTCCCACCACCCACCCCAAGTCCTGGCCACTCGATCATTCACTCCATCCTGCCAAGACACGGCCAGAGGAGGTCAGGACACCAGCCATATCTGGTCTGGCCTCATGCAGTGAGATCCCGACTGAATCAGCTCCCACTGTTTAGAAATGGAGGTGAGTGAGAACCACCTATAGCATGGATATCATATGGCGAGGAAACAGAACCAATGGTGGTGGCGCAGTGGTGGGTCACAGGAAAGGACCTGCTCAGGACCCGGGTCTCCCAGGACACGCAGGATCCCGGAAAGATATTCCAAGGGATGCATTGACCAGAGCGCTGTCCGTGGGCACTCTGCCCCAGGGAAGGCAGGCCAGCCTGTACCACCCCATAGCCTGATACTCCCAACCTGCAGAAAATTCCCCAGTAATCCTACAACCACACAACCACCAAAGGCTTTCACCAGCTCCTCGAGGGAAATGATTTTTCCATTCAAAGTTCATGTAGCTCGTGCTATGTGCCAGGTAAGAGCAGGGCACCAGAGAAGAAAGATCAATTAAGGTCCTGCCCTCAGAGAGATTAGGGTCTGGAGGGGTAGGAAGTAACTGACAAACCATGGCCAAGTGCATTTTGCAACCACCCCATCCTTTCCCTTGCTTCCTGATGAAGGGATGGGGACTTGCCAAGGGCCATGAAAGCACTTAGTGACAGCGACATGAGTCCGAGTGGCCACCCTAGCCCCCCTCCACTGCCCCCAAAAAAGCCCTGCTTCCAGAAACTCAGACTTGCCACAGCCACATACCTCTATGAGGACCCTTCTATATCTTGAACTAGAGAAGACCAAAATGGCTATTATAGATTTGATTTTTTTTTTTTTATTTTATGTTCATATGAAGAAATAGGCCTCTTAGGGACTGGTTTTGTGGATTATTTCCTTCCTGAGCCTGCACTCTTTTTGGGGGAAGAGGGGGCTCCACATCAAACATCACCATCATGACAGGTTTCTTTCTCTGGGGAGTGAGATACCACCACCACCCCCATGTGAATCTCAGCCCTGCCACTTCCTAGCATGTGACCTTAGGCACACTACTTCTCCCTTGCCCTGACCCCCTTCTGAGCAGCCGGAGGTCTGTAACTACCTCAGCCTCTCTCAACACCAGACTCTGCCAGGGGCTCCTTTGTTTTCTGGTCTCTCCTCCTTTGAGTCCCAGTGTTTCATAATCTCAGACATTCACCCTCTTTGAGCCTTCAGGCTATGCCCTCAGCTCCTTTCCTCCTCCCATCTCCCTAGGTTGCACTCTCACCAGGCCTCTGGGATTCCCCAACGGAGCTCAGGGCTGGCACTGGCCTTTCTAGATTCCTCCCACACTCCAGAGTTAGTGTTTCTGACTAACTCTTCAGTATCCCCAACAAGAGTCATGTTCCTGAACAATCTAGAATCACCATCTAGATGGCTTCATGTTTTTCCCCTCCGAAAGTTGGTTCCTTCACTGGCATCACCACTGTACCTATTCCCCCGACCCAAGCTTCAGAGTCAACCCATCCTTTAGAGTCTTCCTTGCTTGCCAGCTTCCCTATGTAGCTATAAAGCTCTGTTTTATTAACGGTGCAAACTGTCCAACACCTAACTTCTCTTAACTGGAACACTAAACTGACTTTCTAAACGGAGATCATCAAATAGGCAATTCTCACAAACGCTTCAATTTGGGGTGTTAAACAGAAGGGATGGATGGGGGTGAAAGAAATGGCTCTCTCAGAAGGGCCCCTAAGTTTTAGGCTGGGCCCAGCAATCGACTGTGATGAGCACAGGGTCTCTTATAACCCTTCCGAGGTACATCAGTCCTTATCTTATACATGAGAGAAACTCAAGGTGAAGGATGAGAGTACAGAACTAGACCACGTCTCACTTTCCTTTTCCTCTCCAGGATGCTCTAAGCTAAAATGACAGCAGCAGATGGTCTGCTGGAACCTAAGAAGGTCTCCAGCATCAGACAAATTAAAAACACATACAACACATACAAACTCAGCGAGAGAGAGGGAGGGAGGGAGGGAGGAGAAAGAATGTACGTGTGTGTGTGTGTGTGTGTGTGGCCCTGGGACATGTTTTGAATTACTGGGGGTAGCTCCAGAGCCCCACCGGATAGTATCCACCAAATGGACACCTCAATATTGAGGAGGCTCATCTAGATATAGAATACAACTCCCATCAGGATGCCACATGCCTTTTCCCTACATTTAGGGCTCAAGGGGGGACCGGGACAGAGCCTTATCAGAAAGCCTAATTCTTAAGTTTAATGCTTCCTTGCTAAAGGAAAAAGGATTCCGACATAGACATGATTTGTTCAAGCCCTTTTTGGTAAAGAGCTATCAAAGCTCAGGCAATGGTTCAGCTATGCGAAACGCCAATCCATTAGAATCTAGCACATGTGGAAATGATTAATGTGTAACTGCTGTTTGTCCTCTGGTCCATCAGCAACCATGAAAGCCACAGCAAATGCTGAAAGAAATACAGGAAAATCTTAAAGTGTTTAAGCCAACTACACTTTTCCAGAAGATGAAATTACCATTACTTTTCCCATTAAGTGTACAAAGACTGGGTAAAACAGGCACAGCGCGAAGGGAAGAAGTCTCTGACTCGGTACCACTCTGAGGAGGAGAGGAAGCGAGGAGGTATGGATTGAGCAACTGTGTGCCCACTCACTGAGTGTTGAAAATAAAGGAGATAGTTTTGTACAATAAGTCCCTAATTGGGCAAAATCTTTTCCATCTTGCAGATGTGTTAGATGAGGTCAGAAGAGCAAGTCACTTTTGTTTCTTGACCCAGTTCTCAAGCAACTTGCAGCCGACTCCTTACCCAAAACCATGGGGACCAACTTTCCAGAAACGATCACAGGGGAATAAAATCAAAAAGCCAAACAGCATCGTCTCCCCCTTAAAAGTGGGGAGAAACAAACCATTTCTCAGTCTCTAGACCAATGAACACTTTTTCAACAAGGAATGGAAAATTCATACAATTGGCTAGTGGCCACCTTCTCTCCTCAACTCACTGGAAATCGGGGGAAGCAAATCAAAGTCACAGCTTTTAAATGCAGGCCATTAAAAAACAGTCTTTGCCGCTGTCGGCTACCAATAAAAGGCAGAAGAGCCTCCCTAAGATTGATTTTTTTCCTTACAGACATGGTGTGGCTGGAGAAAGCGTCCAGTCTGGGGTTTGACTGCACTGGGGGCAGGGCTGGTCATCCGTGGCCACGCGCCTGGTGGCCGGCCTGGACGTGGAGGGGACGAGAGGTCGCGGGGTACCGGCCAACCGGCCTCTCCAGCCACCGGTCCCGGGGGGCGGGGGGGGGGGTTGCAGGGCAAAGGGCATTTTCTCGGCGTCCAACACCCCGACGCCAGCTCCCAAGCACTGCTTTGCGGATCCGTTCAACCTGCCTTCGGAGTCCGAAGCGGCGCCGTTTCGCCTCGTTCTCCGGACAGAAGGCAGGCAGGGCCCCTCCGTGGGCTCGCGGGAGGGAGGGGGCTCGGATGGGGAGGGGGAGGGGTGGGGGGCGCCCTCAGATCCAGAGTCCCCGCTGGCCTGGCGCCCGCGTGCCCGTCGCGCAAGGTGCCCGGGGACCACACGGGCCGTCCCCTAGGGGGGCGCCCGCTGGGACCCCGGCTCCGAAGCTGCTTTCTCCCCCACCGTGCGGTGCCCATGTCACAGACGAGGCCACCGAGGCCAGCGAAGGCAGGGGGCTCGCCCAGCCCGGGTCACGGGTCGGACGCCGGGGGGCCCTGGAGATGCGCTGGGGGGCGGGGGCCTTGGCCGCGAGCCCTCGGGGGCCGGCGCGCAGCGCCCTGCGCCCCGCACCCGCCCGCCCAGCGCGGGCCCCGCGGCGACAGGTGCGCGGCGAGTGGCGCCCTGGCGCCGACTCCAGGGAAAGTTTCCCGGCCGCGGCGCGCTGTTTACGGTCGCGTTTTGCAGCGCGGGGCCCCGAGCTCCCGGCCAGCCCGGCCATTGAAACCCGACACGCGGGGAGGGGCCACCGGGGCTGGGGCGAGGGAGGCGAGCGGACCCCGGGCCCCGCCGGCCGCGGCTCCCCTTACCTGCGGCTGCGCGAGCGGCCTCGGCCTCCATGCTCCGCTCCCGGGGCTCGCGGCCTTCCCGCGGGGCTGCCGCGTTTCCCCGCCCCCGCGTGCCCCCCCCCCCGCCCGCTGCCGCGGATCCCGGCTACCACCCCGGAGCCGCCCCGCCCCCTCCGCCTGCGGCCTTCGCCGCCTGCCATCGACCTCGACGCCCCGCTGAGCAAAGCCAGCCCCACCCCTCCGAGGAGGTAATTCTTCGGAAGAGAAAACTATTTGCAGCGCACCCCATGGCCGAGGCCCCTCTCCCGAGCCCCTTCTCATTTCCTTCCTTCTTCATTTCCATTTCTACGGACGAGAATCATTTGCATTATTCCTTTTGGAAAATTTACACAGTTTAAAAATAACTCAAAGGCCATGAATGGCTCGCATAAGGCAGGAGGACATCCAATAACCTTTCTGCCCATGTCAAATTTTTTCTGATGACTATAATGTGCCCATTTTGGCTGATAACTAATACTTTCATTTATTAAATGTTCAGGCTCGTGCTCACCTGAAATGGCTTAGTTCCATGACAGCCAGCTGTTTCCCTAGTGTTTCTTCTTCTTGGCCTGTTTCAAGGTGGTTTTTAGAGGAGAGGTGTGGAGCAGGGGTGGTTTGAAAATGCCAATGGCCTTGGAAACCCAAAGGTTTGTGGTTAGTCAACTAGCTAGCCTGCTATCTTTGGTTGCAACTCTGAAATTCATCCTTGTGGAAAACCACCGGATCTGCATCTTCAGTCCTTCTAGACCTGAGGGTCTGGAACTCACCTGCCTGCCTATCATCCCTCTACCCCAGCAACCAGCTGCTCTGGGAAGCCTCCCAACTGCACCTCCACTTTCGGAGCAAGGGACTTGGGGTGGGCGACGGTATCCTCCTGAATGGGATAAAAACTGGCCCCAGTTTGGCTTCCATTGCGTATTGTAGAAATGTGCAGGTTAATGGAGACCAGAGCTGGACGCTCTCCTTAAATTCAACCTGTGTCACTTCTTGGAAGTTTGAGATTTCATTTTCTACAGCAATAAAAATGAAATAGCTTTCAGAACACTTAATTTCTCCCATCACCTGTTCTTATTAAACACAGATTTATTAGGCTCCTACTATGTGCTTTATCCCATTCCAGATTCTAGCAATTCAACAATGAAGAGAATTAATAAAATCTTGCCTTTGGAAGGTACTACCTAGTGGGTAAAAGTGAACAGGAGATAGAACATAATAGAGACACAGGCAGAGGGAGAAGCAGGCTCCATGCAGGGAGCCTGAGGAAAAGCCCTTCCTAATCAAACATTCAAACCAGGTACTTAAAGATATTGAGAGTTGACTCAGATTGCCTCTCACATTGAACATCAATTACATATCATTAAAGTTTGGAGTCTTCCAATCAAAGGACTGAAGCACACCTAGGTTGGGGCACCTGGGTGGCTCAGCGGTTGAGCATGTGCCTTGGCTCAGGGTGTGATCCTGGGGTCCTGGGATCAAGTTGCTCGCATCAGGTTCCCTGCAGAGAGCCTGCTTCTCCCTCTGCCTATGTCTCTGCCTCTCTCCTTCTGTGTCTCTCATGAATAAGTCAATAAAACCTTTAAACACACACACACACACAAACACAAACTGTTCTAGCCATTCCCAAGGTATTTGTGAAGTTGGAAACAAAAATCTGGTACTTAAACAAAAGCGCTAGGAAGCTACTGGATTTTAATAAGTAAACAAATTCCTCTTGTAGCAGTTGTTACTTTTCTGTCAAAGAGCTGTAGGCCTGAAAAAAAAGGAGAAAGAAAAAACCAGATCAAGGCTTAGTAAAAATTGAAGGAAAAAATATAAAAGTGCAAAATTTTTCTTCTATAAAATGTAGGGGAGATAGTACCTTGTGATGTATCATAGCAAACTTTTTTTTTTTCATTTTTATTCATGATAGTCATAGAGAGAGGACAGAGAGGCAGAGACACAGGCAGAGGGAGAAACGGGCTCCATGCCGGGAGCCCGACGCGGGACTCGATTCTGGGACTCCGGGATCGCGCCCTGGGCCAAAGGCAGGCGCTAAACCGCTGAGCCACCCAGGGATCCCCATAGCAAAGTATTTTAAAACACAAATTTTCAAGCTATTAAGTAATAATTATTCGGTGACATTATAAAAACTAGTATCTTTCGGGCAGCCCAGGTGGCTCAGCCGTTTTAGCGCCGCCTGCAGCCCAGGGCGTGATCCTGGAGACCCGAGATCAAGTCCCACGTCGGGCTCCCTGCGTGGAGCCTGCTTCTCCCTCTGCCTGTGTCTCTGCCTCTCTCTCTCTCTCTCTCTCTCTCTCTCTCTCTCTCTCTCTCTCTGTGTGTGTGTGTGTGTGTGTGCGTGTGTGTGTGTCTCATGAATAAATAAATAAAATATTTTTAAAAACTAGTATCTTTCTATACCAACTTCCTATGGAATATTGAACATAATCCCAACGTTGTAATAGTTTCTAATATACCAATTCTTTGTTTTAAAACAATTTCAAATGGTTGTTTCAGAATATTATAAAAGTCTAAAATGTTCAGTTTTTATTTTTATTTTTTTTAAAGTTTATTTATTTTTTTTAAATTTTTTTTAATTTATTTATGATAGTCACAGAGAGAGAGAGAGAGAGCGAGAGAGAGAGAGAGAGAGAGAGAGAGAGAGAGAGGCAGAGACACAGGCAGAGGGAGAAGCAGGCTCCAGGCACCGGGAGCCCGACGTGGGATTCGATCCTGGGTCTTCAGGATCGCGCCTTGGGCCAAAGGCAGGCGCCAAACCGCTGCGCCACCCAGGGATCCCAAATGTTCAGTTTTTAAATCAAAAATGCCATGAGCATTTGAGAGCTATTCTTTGGTAGGTAAGTAAAAAACATGACTGTGGTGTCAGAAACTTCCAAAAAGTTGAAGGTCCTTACGGTCCTTCCTTAAACGGGTGTTGGAATCAAATCTCATCTAGGAAACCAGCAATAGCACATCAACCCAAGGAAAAAATATCTATTACTAACTGCTTCAATGAGCAAATCCACAGTAGTAAAAAACCATAGATACTATAATTCTGAACACAGAACCATTTGCCACATTCATTGAGAATGCTCCTGGAATTTAACACCAGGTGAACTTAACAAAGAAGAGAAAGTAAAAAAAAAAAAAAAAAAAAAGTTTTTTTGCTGTAATATTCTGAATCACTCAATCCTCATTTTGATGTTAACCAAATCTAGTTACTCATAGTTAACTACAAATTTGTTCCTATAGCCCATAAGGTCACTAGATCGTCAACCATATCCTGTTTGCCTTGGGAAAAAAATTGGATTCTAGCCCAGGGCCTGGCAAATTACAGCCCACGGCCCCAACCCAGCGCCCCCGCCTATTTTTTGTACAGCCTGTGAGCTGAAAATAGTTTTTACGTTTGTGAATAGTTCAAAAAATCAAAAGAGGAATAATGGTTTGTGACACGTGGGCAGTAAATGTATTCAAAATTCATAGTTATTGGAACGTGACCACGCCCTTCATTTGCATATCATCCAGCTGCTTTGAAAGCTACTAAGGGGCTGAGTTGAACATTTGCAACAGAAACACTCTAGCCCCTAATGTTTACTTTGGAGCTTTTTAGAGTCTGTGTTTTGGCCCCTTTTGTACTATTGAGCTGGAAAAGCAAAGGAATGGGGTGAGTGAGTCCCAAAGGCTACCTTGGAAAAGTGACATTTTTGGAGACAGTGCTTTGGCAAGAGGCAGTTGGCATAGGAGTTTTATATTTTATGGTAGACATAAGTAGCTGGGCTGGAAGCAGAGGTGTTTGACATAGAGGAGAGCTTATTACTATTACTATTATTTAATTGCAAGTGCATCTTGATGATTGATTGATTCTCCCTACCTCCCAAGAGGAATTTGACCAGGTTGATTAAATTTCATTTATGTCAAGTGTACAAAATGTGTTGTAAGACCTGTTCATGTTAGAGACAAATAAACAAACCCTTTTAATCCTTTTTCTTGCTTAAACAGGAAGTCACAACTTGCCAATGAGAAATTTAAAACAAATCCCACAAAGTTTTATGTTTGGTTCAAAACTCGAAATATTTAGGTCTTGGGATATTATAATCTTGGCAGCCCACATTTGTCGTCCCTGGTGAGAACATGTGCGTACTGTTGCTTGCTCTTCAGTTCACTGAAAGGGGGTCACACCTTGCCCTTTTAATCCCAGAGTCAAACATGATTACAAATATTTTCCTCTTGGGAATCTAACTCCTAAGGAAGATCACTGTGCTTTTTTTTTTTTTTTTTTTTTTTTTTTTTGTTAAATAAAACATCTCTCTTTAGTTGCTTTATTCATTCTCAGTCTTACTGTGTTTCATGGGCCTAAAGATTGTGTTTGACATCAGCAATTGTTAGAGACCATTTGTTTTTACAATGGAAAAAGAAATAAAAGTGCAGATGTCAGACCTCAAAATCCATACTTCTCTGAATTGTTTTCATTTTAGAGAATGAGAACGTGTGGAGGGTTTTTTTTTCCGGGTGGGGTTGGTTGGATGAAATCAGAGTCATGTCACTGTTGCTAAGTAAAAATATTTTACATCTTTCCCTTTCTTTTTTATTAATTGCAGAATTAGGGAAAGTTTAGAACATAAGAAAATAAGTGAATTATGGAAAAGTGAAAATTGCAGGATGCATTCCAGTTTAAGTTACAATAACAATGGCTTACATCAAACCCTGAAAAAAATAAACATAAAAGTTGCAGTGTCTTTATCAGAAAAGTAGCATCGTTAACAGAAAAGTAGCATTCTTGTTGGAGAAGGGGCCTCGTTGACAACTGGCAGTGTTTTAGGTTTTTTAAAAATACTTTATTTATTTATTCATGAGAGACACAGAGAGGCAGAGAAGCAGGCTAGGCTCCCCGTGGGGAACCTGATGTGGAACTGGACCCCAGGACCACAACCTGGGCCAAAAGCAGATGCTCAACCACTGAGCCACCCAGGTGTCCCAACAACTGGCAGTCTTAACAACAGTTGAGTCTGTTTTGAGGCGTGATAAGTTAACATTCGTAAACACAAGTTAGCTACACAGATCTCATTAGTTGGTGTTGATATCAGAGTTTGATTTAGCAGCAACCAATTTTACAAACGCCGGCCTTTCCAATGGCCTAATTTGTTTATGACTGTGATGGGCAAGTGAAACCGTTCCAACAGAAGGACTAGGTGACAGTGACCTTGAACCAGGGGGGTCATTCACGAAAATGAGGGGTTGACTCAAGATCAACAATGCCTGAGGGAGTATGAGAAACTGGTTAATTGCTTTCAAACTTGGATCTCAGTATTGTCTACTTTAATCTCAAAATAAGGTGTAATGCAATGCTCTCTGCATCCTCGCAAAACAAGGCCCCCCCTTTCCCCCTCTCCTGGCTTCCCAGAGCAGGCAGGGGAAGGCCACTGGAGGCAAATGCCGCTTCCCACCCATTCTCTGCTGGAAATGAGCCTGCAGCCCACACCAGAGGCCAATTAAAAGGAACGGTCCTTGGTTCGGCATCCTAGGAAGGCATCAGGTAGAGTCTAGGCGTTGGCAGTGATCCCAATTAAAGGGGATGGTTTGTTTTTTTCCATCAGGGGACCAATTAAGAAGATGGAATCACATGGTCACACCCTCTAATACGGGGCATACTGAACTGGGGAAATCAGTGTGACCCTGGAGGAGCTCTACTGGTTTCCCAGGGATGGAGCTTCTCGTGGCCATGCCCAGATGGGGGAAAAGAATGGTTTTGTGTCTCCTATTAGACAGCTTTCTTTCTTTCTTTTTTTTTTTAATGATTTTATTTATTTATTGAGAGAGTGAGAGCAGGAGCAGGGGGAGAGGGAGAGGGAAAGAATCTCGAGCAGACTCCCCTTTGAGAGGGGAGCTCTGTGTGGGGCTTGATCTTACAACCTGAGATCATGACCTGAGCCAAAATCAAGAGTCAGATTAAGCTTAAACAACTGAGCAACCCAGATGCCCCACCTCCTTTTAGACAGCTTTCTTAAAGAAACAAAGCTATTTTTAGCTAAAAACTGTATGTATATATAAATATATATAACTATATAAAACTTTTCTATATAAAACTATATAAAAACCATATATATGTGTGTATATATATATATATATATATATATATATATACACATTCTGAAAGGTCAAGATGTTGCATAACATGGCTTCTTCAGTAGAGAAACTAGCCTCAAATGTTAGCTTTACTCTGACACAATTAGAAGGAAGAAGGATGTCTACAGAACTAGGTGGAATGCCACCACCGGCCAGTGGCTAACATTTAGTGGTGTGTCGTTGGTCAAGCACCGCATTAAGTGCTTGTGGCAGGCAGAATGTGGTGTGAGGAGGGCACAGTCTGAGAAGCCAGCACAGACTTTGCTGGTAGTGTGAGCGACTGCCCCCACCAGGGTTGCTGAGGGTGCTGAAAGGACAATGCCCAGGGCTAAGGAAGGCTCCATATAACAAGGGGGTGCTATGAGCCTCTCCATTTCATAGAAAGGGGAGACAGGGCAGAGAGGTGAACTTGTCTGACCGCTCATGGCTTATAGGTGACAAGTACTTTCGATTTTTATGATTATTTTTTAAGATTATTTATTTATTCATAAGAGACACACAGAGAGAGAGAGGCAGAGACAGGCAGAGGGAGAAGCAGGCTTCCCACAGGGAGCCTGATGTGGGATTCGATCCCAGGACCCCGGGGTTAATGACCTGAGCAGAAGGGAGAGACTCAACTGCTGAGCCACCCAGGCATCCCGATGACAGGTGCTTTCAATCAACACTTTTACCATAGTTTCATCTGTGGTTTTGGTTTTCTTTTTCCTTTTTTTAAACATATTTTGCATAATCAATTTCAAGAGCAACCAAATTCCACTAAGTTATCATGGCCACACACAATGAGGGATCCAGGGGAAAGATTACTAAAGAGAGGAAGCAAGATCTGAACAGATTGTAGGGTCACTCACCAACCTGATTTGCTTGGGACTGTACGGGTTACAGCACATTTTAGTAGCCACCTGCCCAGCCCCCACCCTCAGCCCCATCCCAATCCCAGAAACCCGAGTCCCAGACAGAGACAGTTGATCACCAAATTCATACCCAGCCACAAACTGACCCGGACCCAAAGATCCAGAAAGTCCTTGATGGTGCTCGGACTCTCCATGTGTCTGTTACCCAAAGCCTCTGACTTCTGAACTGGCTATTTTTGCTTTCAAGGGGCATCGTCTAACCGCTCTACCCCCACCCCAGAGTCTTCAGCCTTTCTGGGGGCCTCCTGGCCAGACAAGGCTGAGTGCCCTTGATAGGAGCCTGAGGCTGCCAACCGCCAGGCGGGAGGGGCGCCTAGTGTTCCCAGGGCCCCAGATGGGCGGAGCCATGGCCATCTGACCACCCGCCACCCCCCAGGCTCAGATACATGCTCCTCACTTGGGTTTCATGGATTCCCAGTCCAGCTGCGTGGTGGTGACTGGTAAGACTATTTTTCTGCTTTCCCGTTTGCTGCTACTTTTAGCGGTACCATGGAATGTGCACTTGCCTGATCGGGTCATATAAACAGTTCCCTCTGGCGGGGGGGGGGGGGGGGGTTGGGGGGGGAGAGTGGCAACTGGTGGTGCCAGTAATTCCAGTTGGAAGCTACTTCTTGCTGTGCCCTATTGAAAAACAGGGGACAGAGAGGCTTTTCTTCGGTTAGCTTTCCGCTGCAAATAACTCTCAGGTGGCACACACACAGGTGCCCACACGTGGCTCAGGCTCAGACCTTGTTGTTCCCCCCACTAGGGAGGAATCGTAGGCTGGCATCTGCTGTCCCTGGGTCTAGGGACCAGTGGGCCCATGTGGCATCCAGTGGGAGCTGGGGCTTCAGAAATAGGCCTTTATAGGGCTGGGATGGTGGTCCATGTACAATAACCACCCCCTATGGAGCACACAGCCCCCACAGCCAGACTGAAGAGCTTTCAGCCCCTCAGAAAACCCTGAAGCTCCCCCGAGGGCCACCAATCGGAGACTCTGAACTCCAAAAGATCAACTTGAAAGGCATGGTAGCCACCTACCCGCTCCTACCTTTCACCAGCACAAACCAAATCAACTCCAGCCACCCCCAGTCAATGTCACAGCCAGTCCCTGAAGGGCTTCATTTCTTTACAAAGCTCCTTCTTTTTAGTTAGACACAGTTGACATATTTTTTATTTTTTTTAAGATTTATTTGTTTATGATAGACCTACAGAGAGAGAGAGAGAGAGAGAGAGAGAGAGAGGCAGAGACAGGCAAAGGGAGAAGCAGGCTCCATGCCAGGAGCCTGACGTGGGACTCGATCCCGGGACTCCAGGATCACGCCCTGGGTCAAAGGCAGGTGCCAAACCGTTGAGCCACCCAGGGATCCCCCTATTTTTTAATTTTTTGAATTGTGTCAGATGAAGGAAACAGGAGACAAGGATTTCTGTGTACCTGGAAAATTGAAACATACCTATCTTAATAGTTTCACACTATAATCAAATTCCTATTAACCTTCTGAGGAAAAGAAAATTCTTTTGAAAAACGTTTTTTCTCCCTTGTTCTCATTTGTGTAACTTTGGGTAGAGATTGAATGGTTCAAAATAGTCTTGAATTGGTACGATAACTGTACCCCTGATCAATGCAACGCTTGTCACAAATGCCATCTGAATATTGAAGCCCCGTTGGCAATTGACCTGTTGGTTTGTGGTTTGCTGGCAAACTCTTAGATTGTTTGATGAAGTACCTGATAATCAGCCACGATTTGGGAGTGCCCACTGGCTTCCAGAGTGTGGCCTTCCTTTATTAGAAATGCTTTGAGCTGCCAGGGGTAGTCTTTTCATCTAATTGGATTTTCGTGTAAATCTGGCCAAGGCAATTGGCCTAAGAACTGCTGGGGGGAGGGGAAGGGGAAGGGGGAGGGCAAGGGCTCTGACAAACTGCCTTGGGTTCAAGGCATTTTGACAGCACCAAGAGAAAAATGGGAGGCTGAGAAAACCTGCCTCCCTCCAAAGGGCTCCCTAGATTGCCAGAGAAGTTTCCTCCAGCCTTATGCAAATTTCACCGCAGAGAGCCTGCCAAGTTTAAAGTATACGTTTGACCCTGCAAAACAAGAGCTTTAAACCTGTACTTGCTGAGCTGTTTTTCCTAATTAAAAACAGTTAACAGATGATCTGACTGTTGATCTGAATATGATCTAAAGCAGAATGTGATTATTTTGTGTGTAGGTGTGTGGTGCTGCATTTTTAGTATGTCTACAATCATCCCAGGAGGTACCTGGTTTCTCAGTGATTTTTTTTCTGAATTTCAATCGTTTCTAAAACCTTTTTTTTTTTTTTTTAATTTGGCTGCTCCTATGGCAGCTACAGTCTCATTTATTCTATAGGAGTTAGTGGGTTTTGAGGGGACACCATTGGCTTCCTGGTGTCCGGGACATCTGTCCAAATTTCTGCATTCCCTGAGAAAGATTTTCCCATTGTGAGCCACACTTGTTAGTGGTTCCAGAAGTTCAGGAACTTCAGAGGCACAGTCCTCTCCAGAACTGGGCTCCTCCTCAAAAAGCCTGAGGTCCAGACAGTCCCTGGCCTCCCCTACAGGGGCAGGGGTGCGGAATGGCCCCATGAGTTCAGACCAAGGGCCACTCTGAAGGAGAGATGAAATAAGAGGTCCCGTGGGTGTGGTCACTCCTACACCATCTTTGAGGCCCTGTGATGGTTAACTTCATGTGTCTACTTGACTGGGCCACCGTGTATCTAGATATCTGAGTGAAAACAAGCTGCTTTCCCATCTCTACCTCCTGACCACCATTAATCTGTTCTTCATCTCTATAATTATGTTCTTTTGCAAATATTGTATAAATGAATATATATCCTTTTGAGGTTGGCTTGTTTTCGCTCAGCATATTTCCTTTGAGGGTCATCCAAGTTGTTGTACGTATCTATGGTTCCTTTAAAAAAAAACATTTTAACAGCTTTATTGAGATAAAATTCATGTGTGGTATAATTCTTTTAAATACGATAGTTTTCACATGTGGCTCAGTTGGTGGAGTGTGTGACCTGTGATCTCAAGGTTGTGGGCTTGAGATGCATGTTGAGTGTAGAGATGACTTAAAAATAAAATCTTTCAGGGGCACCTGGGCAGCTCATTATCTGCATTCAGCTCAGGTCATGATCCTGGGGTCCTAGGATCAAGTCCTGCATCAGGCTCCCTGCAGGAAGCCTGCTTCTCCCTCTGCCTATGTCTCTGCCTCTCTCTGTGTGTCTCTCATGAATAAATAAAATCTAAAAAGAAAAGAAAATCTTTAAAAAAATAAAAATAAATAAAATGTACGGTTCAATGGCTTTTAGTATATTCATAAAGTTGTGCGTTCATCACACAATCAATTTTAGAACATTTGAATTACCCCAAAAAGAAACCCCATATCCCTTAGCTATTATTCCCTAATACCCCAGTGTAGGAAAGATGTTATGGTTCAGAGCTGATGACCAAGAAAGAATTTTTGAGACTTTTGTGCAGAAAGGTGGTTTTATTAAACTCTGGGGATAGGACCTGTAGGCAGAAAGAGCTGCCCCTGGGGTCAGGAAGAGTGGCCCATTATATACTTTCAAGTTGGGAGGGAGTTGGAGAGAGTGTAAGTCTCTAAGAAATTTTGGAAGCAAAATTTCCAAGGTTTCCAAGGTCCTGGTTTCCAGGACCTTGATGGTGCTACCTACTGGTGGGAAAAGATCACTTATGATTGTCTAATAAAACCTTAGTCATGAGACTAGGTTCAGGCGTAGATGAGTGGGCCATATGTTAGGGGGATGGTTACCAACACATATCTTGGGAAGTAAAGATAAAGGACGCTTTCAAAGGAATTCTTATATGTTAAAGTAGACTTACAGGGATGCCTGGGTGGCTCGGTGGTTGAGTGTCTGCCTTTGTCTCAGGCGGTGATCCCAAGGTCCTGGGATTGAGTCCCATGTCTGGCCCCACACAGGGAACCTGCTTCTCTCTCTGCCTTTATCTCTGCCTCTCTCTGTGTCTCTCATGAATAAATAAATAAAATCTTTTAAAAACTAAATTAAATTAAATTGAGTAGACTTACAGGATCCTGGGGAGTCGGGCCAAAATTGCCTTTTGCCATTAGCATTGAGGCAGCTGAGCTCCTAGAGGAATGTTACTCTGTCTGTTTTGAGGACTTGTGAATGGGCTATAGGTAGTAAGAAAATTTCATTTTTCTTTTCCTTTGTTTACCACATCACCCCCCACCCTACCCCCACACTCCAAATCCACTAACCGCTAACCTACTGTCTCTCTCTCTAGATTGCCAATTCTGGATATATAATATGAATGGGGCCATACACCATGTGGTCCTTTGTGGCAGCTTCTTCCACTTAGCATAATATTTTCAAGGCTCCTCCATGGTGTATCATGTATTAGTACTTCCTGTCCTTTTATTGACAAATAATATTCCATGGTATGGATCGCACCAGTTTGTTTACGCATTTATTAGCTGATGGACACATTTGTGTTATTTCCACTTTTTTCTTTTCGAGGTAGTATTTCACAATCTGGAATTCTTGCTTTACCGTTCACAGCTTGAAGAACCCTTGGAGAATTTCCAGCTTTGGGTTGTAACACATGAAGCGCTATGAACCTGTGTGGACAAGCTTCTGTGTGAAAACAAGTTTTCATTTCTCTGGGATAAATACCCAGCAGTAAATGTGGTGGGAAGTCCACACTCAGGTCTTTTCTTTTAAGATTGATTTATTTATGCTGAGAGAGGGAGGGAGAGAAAGAGGGAGAGAGTGAGAGCAAGTGTGCATGCCCATAAGCAGGGGAAGGGGCAAAGAGAGAGAATACCCAAGCAGACTCCTGGAGTAGAGGGAGCCTGACATGGGTCTCCATCCCATGACCTAAGCTGAAATCAAGAGTCAGATGCTGAACTGATTGAGCACCCCAGGTGCCCCTGCATTCAGTTTTAAAAGGATCTGGCAAACTATTTCCTAGTGTGGCGGTACTGTTTTGCATTCCCACCAGCAATATGTCTAAGCCGGTTTCTCCTCATCCTTGTTAGCTTTTGGTGTTATTGGTATTTCTATTTTAGCCACTCTTTTAGCAGTGTGATGATATGTCCTTGTGTTTTAATTTGTGTTTCCCTGCTGGTGAGCGATGTCAGACATCCCCTGCTGTGCTTATTTGCTGTCTGTACATCACAGATCTTCTTCAGTGAAATGTCCCTTTGTGTGTTTTGCCAACTTTCTAATTGGTTTTTGGATTTGTTTGTTTTTTTTTTAATGTTGAGTTTTGAGGGTTCTTTTTTTTTTCTTTTTTTAAAAAGATGTATTATTGGGATACCTGGGTGTCTCAGCAGTTGAGCTTCTGCTCAACTCAAGGCGTGATCCTGGGGTTTAGGGATGGAGTCCCGCATCGGGCTCCTCGCAGGAGCCTGCTTCTCCCTCTGCCTGTCTCTGCCTCTCTCTCTGTGTCTTTCATGAATAAATAAATAAAATCTTTTAAAAAAGATGTATTATTTATTGAGAGAGAGAGAGAGAGAGAGAGAGAGAATGAGCAGGGAAGAGGGGCAGAGGGAGAGGGAGAAGGAGACTCCTTGCTGAGCAGAGAGCCTGACCTGAGGCTCTATCCCAGGACCTGAGATCTTGACCTATGGGGAAGGCAAAGGCTTAACTGACTAAGCCACCCAGATGCCCCAGGGGTCTTTATATACCCTATGTACAAGGCCTTCATCAGATGTGTCATCTGCAACTATTTATACTGTCTGTAACTTTCTTTTCATTTTCTCAAAAGAGGTTTTTGTACAGCACAAGTACACTTCGATGAGGTCTAATTTATTAACGTTTACTTTCATAGATCGTGGTGTGCTCTTGGTGTCAAGAACTCCTTGCCTAGCAGTAGGTCTCAAGATTTTCTCCCTTTCTCCCCCGCTGAAAATTTTATAGTTTTACTTTGTTCATTGAAGGTCATGATCCACTTTGAGTTAATTGTGTACAATTAACTGAGGTGCAAGACGGAAGCTGAGGATTCATGTTTTTGCCTCTGGGTGTCCTGTTGTTCCAGGCCCGTTTGTTGAAAAGACTATCCTCCTCCATGGAACTTACTCTGCACCTCTCTTAGCAAATGACTGGGCATATTCACATGGTGTCTTTCCAGGCTCTTAACAAAGCATACATTTGAACCAGATATTTGTATACTTTCTCAAGCCTTCCTAGTTCAGGGTTGGGTCAAAGTTCCTTTTTGGCTCCCCCACAATGCCTCCCATAGAGAACTCTGAAAATGCTCCCAGATTGGCCAGGTTGCAGGCCTCCACAAGAAAGGACATGTGTGGAATCCCCCCCCCCACCCACACACAACACACCCCGGGGCCCACCATGACCCTGGGAGCAGCAGGTGGCTCCCAGGAGATTACAGGGAGCAGCCCAGGTGTAGAGACATCCTCCCTAAAACTAGGCCTGGCCTGAGCTAACCAGGGTCTCTTTGGTTTCAGGTTTTGGGCCGTTCCGGCAGCACCTGGTAAATTCCAGCTGGGAAGCAGTGAAGGTAAACACCCACCAGGCCCAGAGCCCTTAGCTCAGGGCCCCACTGGTTCCTTCTGTGGCTCTGAGAAACCCAGTGTGTAAGGCCCCCTGGTAGCCAGATCCACATCAGAGGGGAGAGAACAAATACTCAAGAACCTGGGAGAAGGACTAGACTTTGTTCCTTGGGTTGTGACTCACCTGCCCCCAGGTGACCTTTCTGGCTATGAGGGAAAGAAGAGACTGTGGAGATATTCCTGAGAAGAATGGGAGTGCCTGAAAGCAAGCTCTGCTGCCCCAAGAACTAGGTTCCTATGACCCCCACCTCTTCTGGCCCTGAGGCCTCAGGAAAGCTACTTCCCCCAGCCTCAGGGGTCTTATGCAAGAAATGGGCAGATAATAGAGCTGATGTTACAGAGCAGGAGTGAGACAAACATGTAAAGCAAGTAAGCATGGAAGTCCGTAAAAACAATTTTTTATAACGCCTGGCACAAGCTAAGTGCTTAACCGTGGTTCTCATTATAAAGGACACACTTTTATTTTTTTATTATTTAAATTCATTTTAATTAACATATAGTATATTATTAGTTTCAGAGGTAGAATTTTTTTTCAGAGGTAGAATTTAATGATTCATCAGTTGCCTATTACACCCAGTGCTCATCCCATTACATGCCTTTAATGTCCATCACCCAGTTATCCCATCCCCCTACCCACCTCCCCTCCAGCAACCCTCAGTTTGTTTCTAGAGTTAAGAGTCTCTTTGGTTTGTCTCCCTCTCTGTTTTCAGTTTATTTTATTTTTCCTCCTTTCCCCTATGTTCATCTGTTCTGTTTCTTAAATTCCACATATGAGTAATAAAGGTATGCCCCAATATCATATGACTTCACTCATAAGAGGACACACCTTTATTTTTAAGGAAGTAGTCAACTAGTAGAAAGCATGTCCTGGGACAGGATGAGGAGGGGTCACGGTCTCATCACAAGATGGGACCACCTCTCCTTGGAGCAAATGCCTCCTACCAGTCCCCATGTGGGTGTCACCTAGTGGCTTAGAACACAGCCAGCTGTTGATTTTCACTTGACTGTCAATTTCTTGCCTCTGTTGGATTAAATCAAAGGTGGGGTCTTGTGTCTATTCTCAGGGTTTCCCAGTAGAGCTGAAAATGCCACAAAGCTACTTGAATCACGGGTTTGCAGCCACTGGGGATTGCTTTTCTAGACTGCACAGATGCAGTCAGGGAAACTTGAGACTCTTGAGTTAGAATTTGGATTATTTTGCTGTTGTTGTTTTTCAGCCAGAAAAAAAGCTCAGGGAACCCCAGACTTGCTGCCAAGCCTCACTGCTGTACACATCATACCAGAAAAGCCAGGTCAGGGCTTTTGTGAGCTCCCAAGTGTCTGTAGCCTTTTCCTCAAAAAACAGGGCTTTCTCTGCTGAACGCTGGATGGCCCTTAGTCCTTCTATGTCTCTTTGCTGTCATGGAAAGGAAAGGAGGCAGGCTGCCTGAGTTTGCCTCACAGCTCCAACAGCTACAAACTGTAGGACCCAAACAAAACAAGCCCCCAGTTTTTCTGTGCCTCCAGTTTCCTTATCTGCAAAGTGGAATGGTTGTCAGAACTATTGGAGTTAACACACAGAAAAGCCTTGGAATGGGGGGGCACCTGGGTGGCTCAGTCAGTTAAGTGTCTGCCTTTGGCTCAGGTCATGATCTCCAAGTCCTGGGATTCCAGCCCCGTGTCAGGCTCCTTCCGGACTCTGGGGAGTCTGCTTCTCCCTCTCCCTCTGCCCCTCCCCCCACTCATTCTCTTTCTCTCTCTCTCTAATAAATAAAATCTTAAAAAAAAAAAAAAAAGTGTGAGGAGCCTGATGTGGGACTTGATCCCAAGACCCTGGGATCATGACCCAAGCCAGAGGCAGATGCTCAAACACTGAGCCACCCAGGTGCCCTAAATAAATAAAATCTTAAAACACCAACAAACAAAAAAACCTTGAAATGGGGCAGGGTATACTGCTGGTGCTCACAGATATAATCCTTATTACCAGGAAGCTACTCTGTCAGCCAGTCTTCTCAGTTGTGGCCCTATAGATTCTGACTTTGGAGATTCACACAGGAAATAGAATGATGGAGAGCATTATCTGAGTAACTCAAAATTGACCAATGAAGCCAGAGAAACAGGGCAGAGACAGAAGCCACCTAGGGGCTTCCAGGCAGCAGAAGCAGGATGGCAAAAACTAGGTGCTCTGAGGAGCCCTTCCCCTGTAGATAAACTAGATAGAACAGAACTTCTGTATGTTGCTAGGCATGCAATACGATGCTTTCTAGGAAAGCTCGCATACATGACATCATGCCCATGTTTATATCACACACGATGGGCTGTAGCCTGAAAGACTGACAGGTTAGCCTCCACCCAAAAGGCAGGTGGGGGCAAACGCCATTATCAGCAGTCAGCAGTGAAGGTGGTAGAGATGAAACCAAGACACATAATGTAAACTAGACCCTTGGAAAGGGATTATGCAGTTTCTAGGACCCCAGCTCTCAGCAGAAGCATATGTGGCTTCTCCTGAAGATTTAAAACCTCAGATTTCCACAAATTAAGAGCAACTAAACATTAGTTTCCATTCAGATATCACCAAATACATAGAGAAATGAACAGCTTTGAGTAAAAATCAGCAGAAGCAAATTTAGAATCTCAAGAACATGAGATTTTAAATAATTCTGCTCGTTGTCATCATAAAATAGCATAACTGTGAAATATTTAAAGAAGATGGAATCACAAAAAAGAGACTTTCAGGAAAAAAAAGATTATCAAAAGATCAGATAAATTGAAAAAGGGAGTAATAGAGCTTATAGAAAGAATTGTTGAAGAATTCAACAGATATAAGGCAGTTTCAAATTATACTAAGTGAAAGATACCAGTCACAAAAGACAATGTTGTAGGATTCCATTTAAATGATGTCCAGATGAAGCAAATCTAGTGAGACATAAAGTAGGTTAGAGGTTGCTGAGGGGAAATTGGGGGAAATAGAGAATGACTATTGATGGGTACAAGGTTTCTTCAGGGGAGATGAAAAGATTCTAAAATTGATTGTGGTGATGGTTGCTCAACTCTGTGAATATGCTAAAAATCATTGAATTTTGGACTTAATTTTTTAAATTATAGACTTTAAATGGGCAAATTGTGAAATATACATACAAATATACATGTATATGGCAGTTTAGAGACAGATGAAGAGAAAATTAGTGAAGTAGAAGATAGATCTGAAGATATTATTCAAAGGGCAGCACAAAAAAGGTGGACAAAGAAGTGAAAAAAGAAATTAAGAGTTATGGGTAATAAAATGAGCTATCCTAACATATGGCTAATCAGAATTCCATGAGGAAAGACAGATGAGAATGGAAGAGAAGCAATGTTTGAATACAATGATTGAGAAAAGACATGATGATCAATCCAGAATTTTTGAAATACATGAATCCACTGAGATAAGAAAGAGATACAAAATATAGCAGGCAAAGACTAACAAAATCCACACCTATGCATACAGTAAAACCACAGAAAACCAAAGACAAAGAGATCTGAAAAGTTTCCAGAGAGAAAAGATGGGCCACCTGCAGAAATTGGCAATACAGTGAGACCAAGAGTAAATTTCTCTAAAACAATAGTAAAAGCCAGAGAAGAGTGGAGTGATATCTTCAAAGTGCTGAGAAAAAAAAAAAAAGTCAACCTGAAATTGTTTTTCAAGAACAAGAATGAAATAAAGATATTTTCATAAAAACAAGCACCAAGAGAAGCATCTGGCTGGCTCAGTCAGTATCTGAGTCTTGATCTCAGGGTCATGAGATCAAGCCCCACATTGGGCACAGAGCCTATGCCTACTTAATTTAAAAAAAAATAGTTATAATTTCAAAAAGTAAGCACCAAGAATTTACTACCAACAGGTACAACACTAAAGGAATGTGTAAAGATGTGTTCTTTATTTATTTAAAAGATTTACTCATTTATTTTAGAGAGAGAGCACCCATGTGCATGCACTCATAGGCATGGGGAGGGGGGAGGGAAAGGGAGAGAGAGACACACACACAAGCAGACTCCCCACTAAGCATGGAGCCCAGCGTTGGGCTTGATCACACAATTCTGAGATCATGACCTGAGCTGAATCCAAGAGTTGGATGCTCAACCAACTGAGCCACCCAAGTGTCCCAAAGGATGTCCTTTAGAAGAAAGGAAGATGGTTCTAGAAAGATAGTACGAGATGGAAGAAGGAAGAGGAGATAAAATCTAAAGCAGCATTATTTGTAAATAATAATAGTACCAAATGGCTAATTTGTAGGTTTACAACAAAGGATTGAACTAGGGGCACCTGGGCAGCTCAGTGGTTGAGCAACTGCCTTTGGCTCAGGTCGTGATCCCAGAGTCATGAGATAGAGTCCCTCATCAGGCTCCCTGCAGGGAGCCTCCTTCTCCCTCTGCCTATGTCTCTGCCTCTCTCATGAATAAATAAATAAAATCTTTAGAAAATAAAAAATAAGGGACGCCTGGGTTGTTCAGCGGTTGAACATCTGCCTTTGGGTCGAGGCATGATCCCAAGATCTGGGATCGAGTCCCACATCAGGCTCCCTGCATGGAGCCTGCTTCTCCCTCTGCCTATGTCTCGCCTTTCTCTCTGTGTGTCTCTGATGAATAAATAAATAAAATCTTTTTAAAAAATAATAAAAGATTGAATTAAAATATAGGACAATGAAAGTGTAGAAGTTGAGGGGTGATTGAAGGTTAAATTTTCTAAAGCCCTTATGTTCTATAGGACAGGTATCTAGACTTTGTTAAATTATTTATGCATGGCAAAATTTCAACAGTAGCTATTAACGAGTAGAAACAGAGTATATGACTTCCAAGATGGTAGAGAAAAAAAATGGAATAAGGAAATGTATGAACTAATCAGGCCAGGGAAAACAAGGCTGGTGAACACTAGTTACTGTTGCTTGTCCCCATGACACTGCCTGCTGCACACCCCCCACTGGCACCTCACTGCCCTGGGAAGCTGGAAGGATATTGCTTCTATCAGAGAGATTTGCTCCTGACTCAAGGTCAAAGATGAGTGCATTGGTAGGTTAGATGATCTGCCCTGGCCACAGAGAGACTGACCTTTGCAGCCTTTGTTGGAGGGGAGCCAGGTTCTTTTACCAAGTCTCCAGGATCAAATCAGGATTGTCCCAAAGCACAGGAAGGCTCAACACTTGTCAGTTCAGCCCACATTTACGCAGTTCCCCATATGGAGCACAGAGTCTGCTAAGACAGTAATTTCTTCCTGTTCCGATTCTACCCCAAATATGTGTACTGCAATGCAGTTATGACACTACCTACTGGAATTCACACAGACCTCACTGGTTAAGGGTGCAGACCTTCCCAAAACTGCCTTCACTTCAGACACCAGCTATGTGTCAGGGATCCCCAGGCCTCCTGCTCTTCTTACCGACTATAAACTCAGGAGTTCCCATGACCCCCTCAGTTTTGATAACTTGACTCAGAGAGCTCAGAAAAGCACTATATTTACAACTACAGTTGTTTGTTTGTTTTTAAAGATTTTATTTATTGATTCATGAGAGACACACAGGAAGAGAGGCAGAGACATAGGCAGAGAGAGAAGCAGGCTCCAAGCCCGGAGCCTGATGTGGGACTCGATCCCCGGACTCCATGATCATGCCCCCCAAGCCAAAGGCAGATGTTCAACTGCTGAGCCACCCAAGTGTCCCAGTTTGTTTTTAAAGGATACATGTAGAGTGAGGTCTGGAAGGGTCCCAAATACAGTGCTTCTGTGCTTTCTCCCTGTGGAGTCAAGGCACATAGCTCTTCCTGCACATCAGTGCATTCATCAACCAGGAAACTACTGAACCTCCCTGTCCAGAGGTTTTTTTTTTTTTTTTTAATTTTAATTTATTTGAGAGAGAGAGAATGAGAGAGAAAGAGAGAGCACAAGCAGGGGAGAGGCAGAGAGAAAGGGAGAAGCCAGACCCCCCAATGAACAGAGAGACCCGAGGTGGGACTCGATTCCAGGACTCCGGGATCATGACCTGAGCCCAAGGCAGATGCTTAACTGACTCAGCTACCTAGGCGCCCCTGTCCAGGGCTTTTATTGGAGTTCTGTTATGTGGACATCATTGGCAGCGAGCCTAAACTCAATCTGCAATGACCCTCCCTCCCTGATGGTCAAGCAACTCAAAGTTCCAACCCTCTTACCTCACCTCATGATTGGTTTTTCTGGTGGCCAGATCCCATCCGGAAGCATGGAGCCCCCACCTCATTAGCATAACAAAGACCCTCCTGCCACTCAGGAAATTCCAGGAATTTTGAAGCTCCTGTGCCTGGGGAGAGGGACAAAAACCAGATATCCCCATTCTTTCTCCTCCTTTCTTTCTTTCTTTCTTTCTTTCTTTCGATTTTATTTATTTATTCATGATATTTACACACACAGAGAGAGAGGAGAGATAGGCAGAGGGAGAAGCAGGCTCCATGCAGGGAGCCCGACATGGGATTCGATCCCAGGTCTCCAGGATTGCATCCTGGGCCAAAGGCAGGCGCCAAACCGCTGCGCCACCCAGGGATCCCCAGATATCCCCTTTCTTATATCACAGTTCCCTCCACAGGTTCCCTGTCTAGGAAGAGAAGAGGGCCCTTAAATAAAATCATCATAACTCAAAGCAGATTCTGAGAAGCACTACACGATTAGATACTCTGAAGAGGAAAAGATTCATTTGGAAGAACATATGGAAGAAAGGAACCTACAGCAAAATGAGAGGAAACTGGCCCCACCCTCATCTCTGAGGCCCCTGGGATGGCCATCTAGTGGAAGCAGGGGGATGGACAGGCTTCTTTCTGGCAAGTGGGAATAAATCCTCACAACCACCACGTCCTGGATACCACATCGGACATTTTATGCAGAGGAGCTTGTGGATTCTTCCTGCAGTCCAGAGAAATGGATATTTCTCCCCATTGTGCAGGTGCGGCTGTGGCCCTCAGGGACGTTGAGGAGCTGGCCTGAGGACACCTGCCATCTAGATTCCAGTCTCACATGGTCCTGGTGAGTGAAGTCCAGGGTCTGCCCACTTGCCTCCCTCCTCCCCTGGGGGAAAACATCATTTGGTTCAGAGGAGGAGGACCACTTACAGCATGATAATGGCTTAGAAAATTCCTAGAACTCAAGAAACATCCAGAACTACTACCCAATGACCCCTGTGTGAGCAAAGTGAGGAGACTCACCCAAACGCCTTAGCCCTAGGGCCGTGTCATAATGGCAGACCCTCTGCCTTGAGCTCATCTCTGCCCCCTTCCCAGCTCTCCTGCCAGCGCCTGAGACACGGATGAGGCGACAGTCTGCTCAGTCTCCTAGCTCACGATGTACCGCAGTGGTGACGACCGGAACAGAAGCTGCCCTAATAGCTGATAAGCAAGTGAGCCCAAGCCCAGCTCCCCACAACCATTGCCACCATTTGCCTCCTCCACCAGTCCCTGCTCTCAGTCTCTGGTTTCTACTCTGCTCTTCTTTCTGCCTTTTTTTCTCCAGAGCACAGTGACCTGTGATGTTTTTAGATGCTCTCTTCACTCTCAATCCACAGGAGGCTTCTCACTTCCTGGGCCGCCCTGGGTCATTCTGTGGCCTCCACAAACATGTCTGCAGACTCTCCTCAGTGTTAGACTTTCTCATTCTGGTTTGGGGCCACACTGGTCGTATCCACTGAAAGTACCAGCAGACTGTCCACAGAACATCCTTGGCAGGACTAATCATCTAAGCAGGCATATTAAGGCAAAGGTCCAACCTAGTCATGTACATACATTTGACCCATTATACAGATATGGAAACTCAGATGGGTGCACAAATCAGGATTGCACAAAAGGGCACATCACTCCCTAGGTCAGTATAAGCACTTCATTGTCTGTGGGGACTTCTATCAACATGCCTCCATCCCAAATAGAGGGCCTAGCCTGAAGCATGTGTTCCAGTGGCTGGATGCCGGAAAGAAAGCTATTCCAGTCCCATGCTGTCTCCTAGCAAAGTCAGCCTTGTCGATATCATGGACAATGTTTAATGAGCACTTACCCTATACCAGGCATCATAGGTAGGCATTAAGGAATCCAGAGAGGAAAAGAATGTCTCATTCTACACTAACAACTTCTCACCTCTCAGAGAAGCAAGCTATTAGCAAATAATAACCTGAATGTGCTTTTGTTGTAGTTGCTCTTAAATTTTTTTATTTAAGTGATCTCTATACTCAGATGGGGCTTGAACTCACGACCCCAAAAGCAAGAGTTGTATGCTCCTCCAACCAAGCCAGACAGGCACTTTTTGTTTTTAAATGGGAGAAGAGTGTTTTTAAAAAGAAGGAAAATATAGAAAAATAATATAAATGCTAGAAGTCCGCAATGAAAAGAGGCATTTCCTTCAAGCTCCCAGAAGGATGACTTAATGCTCTTTACCCACAGCATGTGTCAAAGTGTTTAACATTGCACTGACCGGTGGGGGGCACCCACCCCTCTCTGTCCATAAGTTTTATCTAGTGACATGAATGAAATGGCTGCATCATTATCTCCTGGTTCTTGGACACTTTAATTTTGGAGCCAGTACCACTTCATATTCTTTCCAAAGGAATTATGTTCTTAGCTCTTCTACAAGTGCCTGAGCCTGGAACGGCAGCAAATAAAACAAAAGTTATGTAAATCATACCACAGGTCAGTTGGGCCAAGGCATTATGTAATTGCACATAAGATAAACCCAGCCTGGGTGGCCAGAGGGTCAGGGCTTTTGGCAGATTTGATAAATTTGATATACAGAATAATTTCTCTTTATTCCAAAGATGACGTGGTCTTGCACCTTTATTACATGTTGCTTTAAAAATATCATCATAATAAAGAATAAAAGGCAGTACCATGTTGATCAGCCCATTACAATGAAGGGTGGGTCCTATGTAACAAGCAGGGGACTGTTTGTCTTTCCACGTAAAAGCCAATTATTTCTTTTTTATTTTATTTATTTATTCCTGAGAATAACACACAGAGAGGCAGAGACATAGGCAGTGGGAGAAGCAGGCTTCCTGCGAGAAGCCCGATTTGGGACTTGATCCCAGGATCTTGGGACCACGACCTGAGCCAAAGGTGGATGCTAAACCACTCAGCCACCCAGGTGCCCCCTCAGCTCAGGTCTTGATCTTGGGGTCATGAGTCCAAGCCTCACTTTGGGCTCCATACTGGGTGTGCAGCTGACTTACATAAATAAATACATAAAATAAAAAACACATTGAGATTTACAGAAGTCATGAAGATAGCCCAGAGTTTCCATATATCCCACACATACTTTCCCCTCTTATTAACATCTTACATCAAGATGATACTTTTGTTGCAATGAATGAACCAACATTAACATATCATTAACTAAAGTCCATAGTTTATTCAAATTTCCCTAGTTTTCACCTAATGTCCTTTTCCTGTTCCAGGATCCCAACCAGTATATGACCTCACACTCAGTCCTCAGGTCTCCTTAGGCTCCTCTTGGCTGTTATGGTTTCTTAGCCTTGCCTTATTTTGATGGTTTTGATGGTTCTAAGGAGTACTGGCTAGGTATTATACTCTGCCTTCAATTAGAATCTGTCTAATGTTTTTCTCATGATTAGACTAAGATTATGGGTTTGAGGGAGGAAGAGCACAGGGGTCAAGTGCCATTCTCTTCCCATCATGTCAAGGGCACATACTGTCAATGTGACTGATCATCATTGACATTGACCATGATGACTTGGCTTTCAGGTTTTCTCACCATAAAGTGCTCTCCCTCCCCACCCCCTTCCCATATCATACTCTTTGGAAGGACAGCAGTAAGCCCAGTCCACCTCTGGGGAATAGGGAGTTACGCCCCCTTGAGGGCAGAGTGTCTGCATAAATTATTTGGAATGCACCTGCAGGCAAGATTTGGCTTTTCCACCCCCCACCTATGTACTTACTTACTTACTTACTTATTTATTTAATCATTTCTTTACATCGGTATGGACTCCCAGATATTTATTTTATACTTTGGATTATGGCCTGTTTTCTTTCAAAAGTCTATTTTCTCTCAAAACCTGTCCCATCACCTTCACTATTCCTGATCACTAATGCCCCTTTCCTGTAAAGGAAATGCACAGTTGCATATTCTGTTTTCCACCACATGCTTGGCTGTACTAGGTTAAACTAAGGTGGGCACTTTTAATTTTTACTTTTTAAAAAATTTAAAAAAGATTTTATTATTTATTTGGCAGAGAGAGAGAGAGAGTGAGCGAGAGAGGGGGCACACAAGTAGGAGGAGAGGGAGAGTTAGAAGCAGACTCCTCACTGAGCAGGGAGCCTGGTGCGGGGCTTGATCCCAGAACCTGGGATCAAGACCTGAGTTGAAAGCAGGTGCCCAATGACTGAGCCACCCAGGAGCCCCAGGCGGGCACTTTTTAAATAACTGCACTACTTTTACATATAAGATTGAGTTTGTTCTCTTGTCCTCCTTCACATTGACCCATCATATTTTTATTTATTTATTTGTTTATATTTATTTATTTTATTAATTTGTATATTTATTTATTTAGATTTTATTTATATATTCATGAGAGAGAGAGAGAGAGGCAGAGACACAGGCAGAGGGAGAAGCAGGCTCCTTTTTTTTTTTTAATTTAATTTATTTATGATAGTCACAGAGAGAGAGAGAGAGAGGCAGAGACAGAGGCAGAGAGAGAAGCAGGCTCCATGCACCGGGAGCCAGATGTGGGATTCGATCCCGTGTCTCCAGGATCGCGCCCTGGGCCAAAGGCAGGCGCCAAACCGCTGCGCCACCCAGGGATCCGGAGAAGCAGGCTCCTTGAGGGGAGCTCGATGTGGGACTCAATTCTGGGACTCCGAGAGCACGCCCTGAGTTGAAGGCAGACACATTCAACCCCTGAACCACTGAGGAGTCCTCTCATCATATTTTATTGATGCAAAAAGCCACTTAAAAAAAAGCATTTGGGCAGCCTGGGTGGCTCAGTGGTTTAGCACCGCCTTCAGCCCAGGGCGTGATCCTGGAGTCCTGGAATAAAGTCCCACATCAGGCTCCCTGCATGGAGCCTGCTCCTCCCTCTGCCTGTGTCTCTGCCTCTCTCTCTCTCTGCGTATGTGTGTCATAAATAAATAAAAAATCTTAAAAAAAAAAGCATGTGGACATCCTAAAATTGGATGAATCTTACAGTCAATTGCATCTTAAACTTCGCCATAGTTGAGCAGAGTTTTTGCTTTCTCGACGCTGGGTATTTGGTCTCTAAGGCTTAGTGTTGATGAAATTCATCACGTCCTTTCTGGATTACACATTCTATCACCATGGGAAGCACTTTGGCCTGTTTATCTTGCTCTGTAGAGTCTAGACCAGAACGTTGAGGGGATTAAAGCTGTATTTGTGCTGCCATAAATATATGAAACTATAACCCACAACACACACAGTCCAACACCAGGGTCAAGTATGCAAACTAGCGTGACCCTGGAAATCATGCAAGTTACCCCAGGCAGCACAGCGTCAGATTTGAAGTCCCTTTTTATTTTGGGAAGGGACAGAATTGGGGGAAAAACTAACAAAAAGCTCTTGGACCTACTTTATCTCTTCTCCACCCTCACATTCAGTCACATTAGAAGCATGTTACAAATCTTAAAAAAATGTCAGCATTACATCAGGGCTGCACACCCAGGATTCCGAAACCCATGGAGGCCATTGTGGGCTTGTGGGCTGAGCATCAGTTTGAGGCGTCCTTAGTCAGGTCCGAGCCTCTGCACTGACGTCTCTCCTCATGGAGGATTATGCTGCTTCCTTGACCAGTCTCAGTAAGGGTTATATCTCTCTGGGGTGCTCCTGACTCTCCTATGCCAGGTCCTGCTGCTCACGTCCACACTGTACCTTCTCTCTGGGCAGGAAGGTGTGCTCAGACCATGTTTCTTCTCTTGCAAGCATTTGCAAAAATATCCAGACAGGGAGAAATGAACCCAAAGGATGTGTGATGGTCAGAATTCAGGCACTGGGTCCCCCAGGGGTGGGGAAATGTTTGGGAAGCCACAAGATGCATTTTGGATATCAGCCTTCAGGCTGCTGGGGTCACCCTCTTTTTTGCCACTTGTAAAATTGTTCCTGTCCTTTACCTGTCTTGGTAACTGTGTTCAGAGAGGTCACAATTTAGAGTCAGAGATCCATTTAGCAATTATGGAATAACTAGCCAATTAATCAAGGTCAGTTAATCAAGAAGACATAACAGCTCTAAACATTTATGCCCCTAATGACAGCACTTCACGTATTATGAAGCAAAAATGAATAGAAGTATAAGGGAAATAGAAAAAAATCCACAGTTTTAGTCAGAGATTTTGGTACCCCTCTCTCAAGTGATAGAACACAGACAAGAGAATCAGCAAATGTACGTAAGAC